GAATTGTGGGAAAATTCAATTACCAATCCTTCATCACCCTATACGAAATAGGGTGAACACATTTCATATGGATCTTGGCTTTGCTTGCCTAAGACTGCTATCTCCAATTCGGCCGTCTGCGGGGTGCTCAAAAGTTGAAATACTCTTACTTCAATCAGAAGTCATGTTGTATGTGTACATGTGACTAGGGTCTCCTTTAAATCCGGACTTACCTAAAAATGCACACTTGGTGAGATAACACCTAAGGCGTGGGGAGGCTGGAAATAGCGTAGATCAGAAAGCGATCAAGCCGAACAAAGTGAATATCATTGCGAATTTGCATCTTGGACGGGTCTCAATCATGTAAAGCGTCACGCATATTCCAACCAGATAGAGGCTTAATGAGGTAAGCTCTACAGCAGGGCTGAGAGCACATAATAGGACAAAATGCTTTACTGGGGCCGACATCTACCTTTCGCTCTTTGCAGATGGAAAATCTATGGATCAAATAACTTTGTAAATTCGAATGAGATTTGATACTAGGTTATAGAAACCTAGTCACCCTAGATAGCATAAGGTGATGGATAGTGGTACTTTTTCTATATTTTTATAAATCGGCCTCCCGAGGCAAATAATTTAAATCTTGAGGCTAAGCCATACCATTGTTTGGAAAATTTCAAGATAGAATTATCGAAGCAACTCTTATTGGAAATAAGAATTTGTGTCGAGTGTAATTGCAAACCGTCAATTTGTCCAATTTACAAGCCAGATAAGAACTATGATTTGCCTTGAAGGCCCCATCTGTCTAATGACCCACCAGTGCCAATGGTTGCATAGCGAAGTTTTAACATGTCTTCAAGGTCTCGCATAACCTGGCTTTGATTCCCGTCAGGGCTATTGATGAGGACTGCACGAAGTCGAAATTTCAGTCTAATTGGGATGATTAAACATTCAACAAAGAGGTAAGGCTAAGCGAAATGCAATGGCATCGTGAGACCTATTCATACCACTAGGAGAAAAATTCCATTATCATTCCTCAACTGACCTTATGCGGCCTAGGTTAACTAAGTTATTATTCAAGAATTAATGTGGATGTCGAAAGCTACTCTTATCGTAACTATGAGTAGTAGGTCAGGCCTGTAGCTGCCATGTGCCATGCAAACAACAATGTTCTGTAAAATCTGGGCGAGACTCATGATCCAGTGCCCCTCCTTCCGTGCAACATCCTGGACAATCCTGAATGCTTTAGGCTTCGCATGACCATTCTTTTTAAGATTTACTTCACACTCATTACATACACACACCTAGTGCGCTCAAAAAATGTGGCGATGCAAACGACGAGATATGCCAAAGTCTTCTGTACACCCTTCATCACAAAATTTTAAGCGAATTTAATCATTGTGCAGCCATTGCATCTAAAGCCGATACCTCTTGTGGGCACAGTTATCACTGGTAGCCAGAATGTCATGTACTGGGGCTTCCTTTCTGCTCAGCAAATTGTTTGGTATGAGAATATAAACTCTTTTATACCATATCTTTTATAAGTCTTCTTCGAGGTCATCAGTAGATCTTGTAAAATTTCTTTTATCAGCCCAGGCAATTGAAGCTTACTGTTTGAATCTTATGTAGTAAGATGAATAGGCTACGCGATAACATTGAGTTTAACATGACCTTGCCTCTCAAAATACTGAGCTTCAACAAACGAGTTGTCGGTCCGGGTCGTTCAGGTCCAGTGGCAAGAAAAAATACCACTTCGCCTCACCGTCATGCCTTTCAATGGGTCACAGAGCAGATGTGGCTTTCATGGCAAACTGGGCCTCTCCTAAGTCAAATTTAGAATGAGATCGCCGACAAAGGAACACTGTATTTGATATTTAAATCGACGAGTTTACTCTTATTTTTAGTGAATATTCTTCGAGGCCTACTCAATTATAGGAAATCCAATTAGTCAAGGTTCTGACTCCTGGGTGCCAATTATTGATAAGAATTCGCTATTATAGTGAGAATCCACGCCCTTCACTATCCGCTCCAGTACAGGTCACTATGCACGTTGATATGACTCTCTAATTGCTGTTCCTATATATTCATTAATTAGGCCTTAAATTTTGCAACTTATCGGCTTTATCCCAGGTTGGATAGATCGTTTTTTAGAGGAGCGTACGCTGAACCGTCTGAATCAAGGTCAAATTGTCTGCCACTGTCGGCCCGACAGACTCTCTGGATCTTTTGGTCGGAAACTAGTATCTGTAGCCGGAAAAGAGATCCAGATCACGAATGAAGCAGACGATGATTCCGAAGAAAGGCCTGTGAGCCAGACCTGGTCCACTGGTGTCGCGCCAAGGCCACTCGAACGTAACTGACTTCTGCTGAAACGATACAGAAGAAGAGCTTACGGGAAAAACCACTCGCTGAACGGCCACCAATTGTCGATTACAAGAGATTTCTCTGAACATATTCAGACCCATGCCCGAACCTGGACGGACGTTGTTTCCTATTCTGAAAAAAAAGCGCAATTGTTGCCTGTTGGTAAACGCTGGCATGAATGAAGTGGGCAATGTCGGCAGTCAGCTTTGTTGCGACTGGCCGAGACATCTTTTGATATGATGTGGCCACGTGCTGATGCATACATGGTCTCCGATGCCGCAAAAAGCGGGTTTGTTGTTGCAGGTCTTTCCAATTTATGTCCAAACAGAGGCTCTGATTCTAAAGGATCCCTTCAGTCAATTTCTCATCAATACTCATGACTCAGCTTTCGTCTATCTAAATGTCAATTGCAGGTGTACTAATAAAATGCATTATTTTAAAGTTAATGGTTTAGAAATATGCCGAAATTAATATCCCCTATTATCACAATAATCCATCCCTAAACTAGGCGCTTAGCAAAGTGCTACTTTTATCGGCACAAAAAGGACTATAATACCACTTTAGTGTCGAATCCTACTCGGCTTAGGAATGAAGCGATGCATAAGTTCGCCCAGCCATTTAGTTGGTCCCACCTATTCGGCATCTTTGCTCGATAGCAGCAGCATTTTCCTTAATTGAAACGGCCAACATTTGCCTGGGTAGTAATTTTTGGTTGGAGGGACTTTCATTTTTTAGGAAAGTGCATGAAGAAAAGATTTTTAGGTCGATCTCACCAGAAAAGGACGGATGAATCCCGCTGTACTGTAGCCGTTTGGCTTTTATACGACGTTCAGGTTGACGCAGTCCACGAGACTTTGCAAAAGCTTCAAGCTCTGATGATGTCCATCATATGATGGACGAAAGCTCAGACCTTTTTCACCCGAAAACGAGGGAGGAGGTCTCGTGTACTGCGTCAACCTGAACGTCGTATAAAATCCAAATGGCTGTAGTACGACGGGATTCATTCGTCCTCTTCTGGTGAGATCGACCTACGAATCTCTTCTTCATGCACTTTAATACGAAATGAAAGTCCCTCAAAAATGTTATCTCAGGAGATTCATCAAAGCCCAGTTAATAGTCTTAGCTACAGTAATTTTTTAGCAGAACCCTTATCACATTCTTAGGCTTGGTGCCATGAACATGACAACATGCCCCATTTACTGCGCATGAGCATTCGCATGTTTATGTGCGTATTTTGGTTAAGTGTATGCAAACGACAAGCAATGTGGGCGCATGTATTGAATCCCATCGCTTCCCAATGATACCACTCAAAATAGCAGTTTCTCATTGCTTAACCCGGATTCACACGATCTGCTGCCGACAATGAGCATCTTCAGGAATTCAGGATTCCTCCAAACGTGTGGTTCCCAATCTCCGTTTTGCTTTAAAGTCTGCCTCTTGCGCTCAACTATATCATGATAGAAAAGGGTCTAGATTAACACTCACGCCTTTGCACAAGTAAACCCAGAAAGTCGGACTATGATTGCTTTAAGCCCCAGGAGTCATACGTTGACCGGAGGGCTATCAGACACAAAATAAAGTATATGAGAGGTGTCCAGGGTAGTAGAATGCTCCCACAATGATATGAGTAGGCATGGCGTTTCTACTAAATTTTACA